GGGACAGGAGAACCGTAGGACATATACAGTGTCATCTAGCCCCCATACATGGCAGATATTAAGTACTGATATGCAATAAGACTCCCTTATTGATGGTTTTAAGCTGTTGCTAATTCTGGCAGATTTCACTGGTATGTCTTCAGTTGCACAGGCGGCCATGGCAAGCTTTACAAAACATTACGTTTCTTTAGGCAAGAGCCGAGATTGCTTAGAACAGTGGTGTAGCCGTTCTAAAGGCACCTCCCAAGCCATGTTCTCACCCTTTTGAAGAGAGGGGGTTTATGAATTCATCAGTAACCTCATGCTGCTTGCTGTTAAGCCTGGTGTAAATGTATTAGTATGTTAGTTAAATTCTTCACACATATTAACTGCCTTGCAAAGAGTTCTAACAGAAGAGCATCTCACAAACTCAGACAATCAAACTAAGCCAGACTCCTGTTACAGCCACTATCTTTGCCTACTTGTATGCAGCCTGGTTGGAAGGACCATAGTACTTAAAACAATAACCTACCCCTGTGGCCATCTTACAGGAAACATATGCTGGAAAATTTAGAAATTCATTGTGGGGGAGAATGAGTCAGGGCGTCTGCCCAACTCTGAGTAGGAGGTTACAGTCTTAATTAACAGAACCACACTGCGGTGTTTCATGTCTCTCGTGTGGAGACTCATGCAGCGGGTCAGTTTAGAATTGCGGAAGCCTTTTTTCATTTCATTAATGTACTTCTATGATCCTAATTGTTCAGGAAGGGACAGTTGTTGCCAAGTTACTATCTGTCCTGTTTGCCACCTCCCCGGCCTTTTGGCTTGGCTCTTACTGCATAGAGTGCACCTACACAGCAGGTGGGAGGTGGGATTTCTACCCACGGTAGATCAAAGCTAGTGAGAGTAACAATAGCAGTGACGCTGTGGCAGCACCGGCAGCTGCACGGGCTAGCCCGGCCCCCCTTGGACCATGAGGACCTACTCAAGCAGCTGCATTGGTGCAGCTTCACTGCTAGGGTTACCATACGTCCTCTTTTTCCCGGACATGTCCGGCTTTTCGGCACTCAAACCCCCGTCCGGGGGGAATTGCCAAAAAACCGAACATGTCCAGGAAAATGGCGGCTCTGCTCCTCCCCTGACTCCTCGGCTCTGTTTAAGAGCCGAGCGCTACCGGCTTCGGGCAGCCCCCGTGCCGCCGGACCCTGCGCCGCCGGAGCCCGGGAGGGGAAGTGCCCGGCCGGAGGCGCAGGGTCTGGAGGCATAGGGACTGCCCAAAGCCCGAGCGCTACCGGCTTCACGGTTTG